TATAATAAGTTTAATGAAAATATGTCTAATGGTATTTATTATCTCATAAATAAGTCTATCAGTTTTCTTAAGTCTAATAAAATCTTTAAAATAAGTTTAATGAAAAATTTAAGTCTAACAATTATCTTAAGTTCCTTACAAATAGATTTAATAAAAATTTGTATATTAAGAATTACCTCTTCATAATTTAGCTTAATAAATAACATATTTTTATATAAAAGTCTAATGAAAGTATAAGTTTAACTATTCTAATTTTTCTTAGAATATACCATTTTGTAATATAAATCTAATGTAAAATTTGTCTATCAATTTAGTTCTACTAGAAATTTTATATATTTAATGAAACTAATATATTAAAAAGTATCTCTACATCAGTTAACTTATAAATAAAACAATTTTTTTATATATAATTATTTAAATCTAATAAAAATAAATCTAAAAATCCAGAAAAAAAATTGCAAAATTGTTTCAATTTTTTTTTTTAGCCAAAAATAAATTCTATATAGGTTAACTTAATAAATAAATCTAATAAAAGTTTTAGCAAAAAAATTATGTACTAGTTAAAATTAATTACAGTTAATCCTTTCTAAATGTATATACTATATATTTTCTCTCTAATACATACTTTTGTTCAGTTCTAAGCATATAAAATTCATATAAAAATTTTTTCTTTAAATGTACACTCTCTTTAAATACACATTTTTTAAAATTTTACTATGGTTCTAAGGGATACATTTAGAGAAAGTTAACTGTATATTTATGTCTTAATTCTAAATGTTTTTCAAAACTATCTAAGAGCTATTTAGAAATTATTTAAAAACTATCTGAGATGCAATCTGAGGTCTATTTTAAAGCTGAAATAGTTTAATAAAATTTAAGTCTAATAATTACCTATTAATAAATCTAATAAAATATGTATATTAGAAATAATTTAAGTTTTAGTTTGAAGTCTATTATAATACTAAATAATATAATAACTTTAACATGTAATGGTATCAGCCTTAAACTTGAAGTAGTTGATTTAATACAATTAGAGTATAGTATTCATTTTTTAGCTTTCAAATAAAATTAATAATATTCAGACCTAATATAAGCTTTTTTATAGGTCTTTCTAGAATTGCTAAAATAAGACACAAATTTTTATTAATTATCCTACTTTTTTATTATTAGATTCAAAAAAGATTAATTAATACTTCAGTTTTAAATAATTAGAAAAGAGTTTGGTAATCCTATAAATGAAGCCTTAGAAAATAATTAATTAAAAAAAAAATTTTATAAGTAATAGTTTAATGATTAGACTTAATATTATAGTTAAAAATAAAAAAAAATAAGAAAGATATTATCTGTAAATATTGTGAATATGAATACTCAACTTCTTAAAATTTTGTGAATACTTAAACGAAAAATTTCTTATAAACTAATATAAGAGTAAATTCAAATATCAATTTAAGAAGCTATTCAAAAATCTATAAAAATAGTCATTTAAACTTTAAGTAAAGATTCCGAAATGTAAACTCCTATTCCTAAAGTTTTGACTAAAAGAAAGGTTTAGTTTAAAAAATCTCTGATTAATTAGAAGGTATAAATTATATTAGTAAAAAAAAAAACTAAAAATTAAGTTAATAAAGCAGGTAAACTATCAATGAAGAAAAAATTAGAAGAGATAATATAGGAAAAAAATGATCTAAAAGTTAGTTTAAGACTTGGAATTTTTAATTATGCGGTGATTAAAATGAATGTTGTAGTTAGATGCATTTAAGGAAAATTCTGCGGTGTTCTGTGAATCACGGGAAATCATCGTCCCTGCCTCTATTCTCGTTACGTTACCATAAAAGCGAAGAGTCTATATCAATATATTTTTCTGATAAACATTTTCCACCTTTTTTAAACGCAATATTAATATTAAGCTTAAAGAAATGAACCCTAGAACTTGAATTATTAACCCTAAAGAAATGAAAATAGAACCTTCTCCTAAACTGAAAATGATAAAAAAGTCTAAACATCTTGCACATTGTGGACACCAAGTACCTCTCTTTATATCACATAAAGTAGCATTCCATTCATGAAATTTAGCACATTTCCAATATAAAGGATTTTTTTGTTTAAAAAATATATATTTTTTAATTTTATCGTTATGTATTATAATAATTCTAATATACCTGAAACAGTAAACGAATCGAATTCTTGCTCATTTTCTGTGTATGGAAATTTCGAGAACCACGATATATTCAGAATTCTCATTTTGTAACACAGTTATTAATTTGTCCTCCATATATAGGAATTCAATTTTAGAAAGAACTTAATTTATGGAAGAGATTAAAAAGTGTAATGTAAATTTTTAGGGTGAATTAAAACGAGTTTTTTTTTTTATAAAGGGTGAGATTAGGTTGAGATTTGTGTACGATGAAAAAAAAATTTTTTCTTTAAATACATTTTTACTAAAATTGTATTTGAAACTTGAAACACAAGAAGTAGATAATTTTTAGGAATTGTTCATCACATTAAAAAGACACTTGTCTTAATAAAAAACCGAAATTTTTCCTCCGAAACGGTAAATGATTGGTCTTTGATGCACATTATTTAAATTTAAGCATTGATAGATCTTTGTTAAAGTTTCACTTTGCTATGAAGATTAACCATTAATCCCCATCATAGAAAATCAAAAGTTCCACTACATTAATTTCAAACGTTCCCCTATTTTTATAGGTTTCAGAAATCTTTCCATGCTTTACATATATATATTGTACATTCAAGTTTCAATCAAACACACGATGTTTTATTATTATTATTATTATTATTATTGATTATTGATTCCTTTAAACATGTCCTCTTTCATTAACAAAAGAAATTTAATTTTGTGTTTCTGGACACTTCTTTTTCTCTCAATTGCAATAACTCATACTTATGCACATGCTGGTGATGATGAGATAGAAGGGTCTAGCGGTAAAGCACCCTCTGTTATGTCGAATGAACATGTGCATAAGCACAGTAATATTGCCGAAGGAAACATTGGTCTTGGATTTGGTCTAACAATTATGGCAGCTCTCGCTTCTGCTCTTGGATCCCTTACACCATTCCTCGACCTCTTGTTTCCTTTCATCCCATTCCTTGCTCATATTAAAATCACTGAATCCAAGGGTTTTCTTGCAGGTTCACTATCGTTTTCTTCTGGAGTTTTACTATTCCTTACCTTGGGTGATCTTTTCCCTGAAGCCATTGGATCATTTAAAAAGTCGAATCTCTTTAATCCAAATTACTCTTCCCTCGTAGCCGCATTGATTTTCACCCTTACAATATTGTTAATTATAAGTTCCAAGATTTTAATTAGAAAGTTCAGAAAACAAGATGAATTTGGAAGTATCTCTGAAGATATTAAAGTTGATAACGATAATAATCTTTTAAATGACAAAACATTAAACCGAAATGAATCACCAACAGGGACCGATTTAACTGAGGTCACGATTGACAATAATAGTAGTACAACTATAAATACTAGAAATAATCAAAATTTCTTAAATTCGCTAGAATCTCAAAGACTTAAAAGTTTGGGTATTCAAATCTCCATCGCTTTGGCGATTCAGTAAGTAAAAATAAAATTTAACTTTCATTTTCAAAACAAGGTTTAAAAATATTAACAAAGTTTATTTATTCTATCATCCAGTAACTTCCCTGAAGGGCTGGCAACTTTCGCCACGACGATTCGTTCGGAACGCATCGGCATCATATTTGCAATCGCACTTTCTTTACAGTAATTAATTATAACGTTATTTTTTATTTTATCGTTTTTGACTATTAGTTTAGATTATTAACGAAAAGAAATTCGTGACATTTCAGTAAAATCCCGGAAGGACTTATAATTTCTTTACCAATATATTATGCGACTGGGTCACGTTTGATCGCTTTTGCTGTCGCGGCCACTGTAGGAATTGTTTCTCAAATTCTAGGTGCTCTTCTAGGTTACCTTCTGTTCGTGACCGTATGGAATGATAGTATATCAGGAGTCCTTTTTTCGATCGTTTCAGCTTCCTTAATGTATGCAATATTGCATGGTATGTTGCCGATGGCACACCATTACGATCCAAAGGATAAGTACGTTACCAATTTCACATTCTTTGGCATCATTTTCCTTGTCATCGTCGCATCAGTATTAGATATAGCATAATTCCCGTTTTGTTATGCGGGTAAAAAAAAAAAAATTTTAGCTAGTTCTAAAATTGTAAAAAAGATTTTTTTTTTTTTTTTTAAATTTATCTCATGATTCCAATACTCGCCCGTTGATTCGGGTGCAGATATCTAATTTATCAAACTAAATAGAGAAACATTTTTAAAATTAGAAAAGCATTATTATAATTTCACATGGATTCTTGTAAATTTTAGGAACTTCTTTATCTCAGAGTTTCAAAAAAATTTTTTTAGCTAGTTCTAAAATTGTAATTTATATATTTTTTCCCATGATTCCAATATTCGCCCGTTGATGCGGACATATGTATATTTATCTCATGCTACAATTTTAAATCTTTAAAAGTTACATTAGAAATTTATAAAAATAAAATAAAAAAAAAAAAAAAATAGGAAATTGTTAAATAATTAAAGTATTGATACGATTGCTTTTTGAGCCTGCTAATATCAAATTGTCGCAATTCGTGAGGATTGCACGTAAAGTCGAAAATTTTGACTTTGGATTTTAATTTTGACTTCTCCCAGAACGGTTTGTCAAGATAACTTTAAAAAATTTGCTTTATCATTCTAACTAATAATTAAAAATGTAACACATATAGTTAACCATAAAATTTTATTTTTTTAAACTTTTAAGATTTGCAATGATTGACAAATATAAAAAAGTTTGTTACAGAAGAATAAAGAAACTGTTGTAAGCAATAATATAATCAAGTAACCAATCATAAATAATAACAATACTTCTTAATTCAAGAATATAAACATGAACATGCGCCTCTTCCCACTGGCAGACTTATGATCAAGATGATGTTCGTAAATTATTTTTAATCTCGATTTAAATCATTCAAAATCCTGAGAATGGCCAAGAACAAATTGATGAAATCAAGGTAAAGATCAACCGCTGCCACGATATATTCCTCTGGACTTAACCTGTTCATGATGTTGAAAGTGTCATAAATAATAAATCCACAGAATAAAATGGCAGTTCCAATCGCTAAAATTAAGTCAAATGTTCTATTAAATGGGAAAAATATTGAAACAATTCCAATGATAATTACGATCCAGAGACATCCAAATAAACTAATATTGAGGGAATTGATTATTAGCAATATCAAATTACATGGATTTTTTTTATTTTTTTTTAAAAAATAATAATAAAAAAAAAACCTTACTAGGGAGCCATTCCGCTAAAATCCCATTTAGATTGTAAAGTGAACAAAGTGAGTCCAATAAAAAGACCAGTCGTCATGATTAAAGCTTGTAAAACGATCTTTTGGTCAAAGTATGTCACTATATTATGTAAAGGAATACAAAAAGTGGATCATATAATATAAAAAAAAAGGTTGAAATAAATATTTAAATCAAGTGAAATACTAACCAGCTGTTCCAACCGTATAACTTTCTAAAAGTGTAAATCCAGTCAAAAAAACATAATTAAGTGGATAAGAGCGACGTTTCCACGCAAGTAGAAAAATAAACACAAACGATCCGATAAGTGCAACATAGAAAGCCCAAGTACTTTAAATAAAATATAATTTTAATAGACGACTTAATTTATTCCCTCAAGAAAATTTTAAAAAGCTTACTTTGTTTGAACCCAATTTTTCAAGTTATCATTATTAATCATAAATCCAGCCGTAAAAGTAGAGAGAAACAATTGCGCAAACAATATTGAATAAACTTTGCGCATAAAGGCTAAAAAATATCATATAAATTTAATTTAAATATCAATTAAGCGAATTTATAACATTTATAAAATGTAGAACGAACGCACACCTAAACGAACACCGATATCCTGTTCAATAACGGGAACATAAACCTTATGCGTGAAATCTTCAGGTAAGTCTTCGTCAAAATCTCGCGCAGTTGAAGTTCCAGCCGTAGGAACAGAAGAGTAAGCAGGCGGTGGTGCGGAATAATTAGGTGTACCGTAAGACATTTTATTATTTGAACAAAATGTTAACCTTGGGAATTTGAGAGTTGAAATTTATTACGGTATTATTACGGTATTTATATCATGGACAACCGTGCAACTTTAGCCTTTCTAAAAATGGCATAAATGGTAACAGAGTTTCGTCATCAACAATCCATCTTACATTCTGAAGTATCCTAATATTGGATTTTAATAATACCCTATAGTTACTGTTTAAAAATAAGAAAATAAATAAAAAATGTTAAAATTCACTTACTTACAGTCATGAAAGAAAGAATTTGTGATAATAAAATAAAAATTTAAAGAGATGTTTTGATTCCTGAAAACTTTGAAGGTGTCTTTACATCATTTTTTTTTTCATTATCGTCCATTTTTTATAATGAATTATCATCTAAATTGGATCGCATTAATGCAAGTGGAACGAAGTTAAGCATCTGTGTACCCAGCTATTATTATCTCACTATTTTCACTTTCATTAATTTGCGAGTGAATGAATCTCTCGATATATCAAATCCATCAAATCTGATCAAAATCTTATCTATCTACCAATAATTAATCCGCAGTCTCTGCACCAGTTATTATAAAATAAAAAAAACTTTTCCATATACATTATTCAGGTCCATTTTAAAAACATGCGGTTTCGTATTTCATTACTTTTTCTAGACCATCTGATATCATCGTATTTATCGTATGAAGACTTAGCTTGATTAGATCGATTTACGCTCTGTCATCTGAATATCATACTTGAACTAACTATTTTATTATAATTACGAAAAACTTTTTCCAACATATTGTTCAAATATATATCCACGAGGAGTTCCAAATGCTCCAAACCTATTTATTACTCAAAATAATTTAGATCTTTTATGCCTTATAAATAACGCCTAAGAGATAGTTATAATCCGGTACAATATGGACGAAAGCGCATTCACTGTTATTATCTTTACCATTCTTATGATCCATCTTCACTATGATATAAGAATTTCCAGATCTCAAATAATTTGTCACCCTTTCGTTTTACTATGTATTCTCGGACTTTGAATGAAAATCCTATTTGTCACCTTATTTGTCATATGGTTATTTGCGAAAACTTGGTAGTAATACTGGAATCACGTGACTTACTAACTATTTGTAAGTATATAATCTCTTATTGTTGCTTGTTATTTGTCACTTATTTCCGGACCAATCGGCTTTTAGACGCCCCCATATTTATCCGGAAAAATTTAATAGAAAACAAAATTTTTTCTATTTGAGATTTGTTTATAATATTTATAATAGAAATTTTTAAGCTAAAGATATTAATTATACTTGTTAAGCAAACAAATTTAACAAATTCATTCGGCATGTTTTCTTTTAAAGCTGCACAAATTTTAATCCTAGATACATTTTAATCCTTTTGGTTGTAAAAAAACTTAGATTTAAATGAAAAATGGACAGAACGAGATGAGTTTCGAAGTTGCCCTACTATTTCTGGTAATAATGTAATGAAGAAAGAAGTTTATTAATACATTCGAATCCAGGTTTGTGTAATTAGGAACACGCAACATCAGTGGTTTACTCTTTATCAAAAAGTAAAGGGAAATGCTTTGGTGCCCGCATATTCAATTCTTTAACTGAATCAATGAATGATTTATTAAGGACGGGCAGAGCTTTTCTTTCTTTATTTCTTCAATTCATAATCGATTAGAAATTTGCCCTGATTTATTTTCGTTGCTTTAATGAGAAAATAAAAAAGGAATAGAGCAGAAGTATAATTATGTTTAATTCTCGGCGTTTCAATTAGGAAAAAAAGCACGTGAAAAGCTTGCCGCTATTACTGTATCATTTCTTTGATTTCTGCTTACTAATTAAAAATTACTAAAATTAACGTTTTGAGAAAAGCAAAATAATGGTTAAGGAATGGTTAAAAAAAATTTTTTTTTACTGATGATAAAAGTCCATTATGTAATCGAGATATCAAAGATGTATTATATAATATAAGTTTGTCAAGTGATCGTTAAACAATTATGGGCAATAATAAACTTACGTAATTTTACCTAACCGATTTTCAGTTTAGTTTCAATGGGGATGGTTCTTTCTTATTGAACTGCACACCTCGGGGGCGCCTCGGGGAACAGACAAAATTACGTCCAGGAGAACAAACGCCTTTCCAGAGCGCCAAGGTGTACATAAAGATCTATAGAAATCGCGGAGATAGTATGCATTATCATAAATTGTTTCGAACGTACTTCAAATATTTCCAATCCTTGCGTAAATTAAAAAGAATGTTCCTCATGATCATGTATAATCATTCAAAAGTGTTGCATATCGTTTCCTGCAAGGAAACATTTTTTTTTAAGTCGTTGAAAAAGATAATGTATAATGTGATGTATTATAGATTTTCATGTGGCTTACTATATATTAGGTAATACGGCGCTTACTTACTTTTAAAAGTAAATGAATTAATTGAATAAGGTAATATTATTTCAATTTTTCTAATATCTACATGTATATAAAGATGTAAAGAAGGAATTATAGAAAAAAAATGTCGTATGCTTACTTTTCGTTATCTTCTTTTTTTTTTTTTTATTTTTCGTTCGAATTACGATATTTTCACGTCAGAGATGTCGTAACTTTTTTTTTTTAAAAAACTTCGATTTTTTTTTACAAAACAATTATGTCTCCCCCCCTTTAACTTTATGATTTTTTATATTAAACTTATGCCGGTTCATCTTAATTGTGTTCATTCGATATTTTTTTTTCACGCTCTTTGAAATTTTTAAATAATATTCAGATATTCATTTATTCTTTGGTATATGTCCTCTTATTTTTTTTCTTTTTTTTTTGGTCTCTCTAAAAAAAAGTAAAATTTTTATTAATCATTAAAATAAATCTCAAACTTTTTGTTAATTATTAGTTCATAGTCGACATTAACGTTAAGGATCTCAAATGTATGAATTTCTTATTTTGGTCCCCGGTTTATATAAATATATCGATATATATGGGTTGATTTCTAGGAAAATCAGGTTCCGGGAATTTTTTAGCAAAATTGAGATTTTTATTGCATTTTAGTTTTTGATGTTATTAGATTAAAATGTATTAAGCTCTAAATTTTAGTCAAAAATTTCTCGGAACCTGATTTTCCTAGAAACACTCCCATATGATGATATGTTATATTTGAAAATTAACCCCAATTATTTTCCCTTTTTTTTATCAGAAGGTTATATGCAGAATACTGTGTAATAACCCGCAACGACGTCGCAGATCGTTTTGTCTTAAACAGCAACGTTAAAAATAACTACAAATTAAATATTTTGTATAAAAATATATTTTGATTTCAATGGTGGAAACGAAAAAAAAAAAAACAAATTTAGAGTACTTTATAGTTAAATCAAAAAATCGTAATACCAACCGTTTTTTTGAACAATAAACACGTGACGATTCATTTTTTTTTTCCCTTTTCAAGTTGAAAAGTTTTAATTTTAGAATGTACCATTATCAAGCCACATTACCAAAACCGATATTCACATAACAAGACGACCCACCAATAAACTAAAAAAGGTGTAATTTTAGTTTGTTATTTCTTTGTTTGAACAAAAGTATAAAGGAATCTCCCCCACCCCCTTTTCCAAATATAAACGCTCAAACAATCATATGCATGATTGTTTGCAAAACAAATTTTCGAGGGGAGATCTTTACTCACGGTTTTTGAATCAAGAACAAAAAGGAATACACCGAATTCACTTTATAAAACCCTTCCATATGGAACATTTGACCACAGAAAAAACGTGGCTCGCGACCAATAACTCTAATGTGATTAACAACGTATAAAAATCAAAAGGTACCAATATCTGCTTGACATTGAGATCAGTTTATCGGTAAGTTGCGAAACAAAATTCACAAGCCAAAAGAAGTTATCCATCCCATAAATGTACAAATTATGAATCCTTAATCTCCCAATTTGGATCATACGATATATATTTTTTTTTTTTTTGTAAAAAGAAAGAGACACTGTAAAACAAAAAAAAATAAACGAATATGCACAAGTAATTTTAATTTATGAAAAGCAATGCATTGACAAAAAAAAAAAACAAATTGTTTGGTAAAAAATTTATTTTTGTTGAACACTGCATATGGTATCATATCGTATTGTAAATCTCCATTAATTTAAGAACGATTTCACAATGAATGGGTTTCATTGGCGTGAAATAACAATCGGTCCCCCAATTTGACGTGATTTATTTCCCCGATTTATAATGTAACTGTATGGTTCATAAATTGTGAATCTTTCGCATCTTCACGCCGGATACAATGTCAATTATAGTGCATAGAATCAAATAAATAAAAATAATAAAAATTATGCATGCATGCAATTAAACAGATGGTGAGGAAAGCATGAAAACAAAAAAATAAAAGAGATTGATGAAATACGGTTCATTGAAAGCGTAGGCTCCAAAGTCTAATCGGCAAGGTTACATAGATTCCTTTTTTAAATCAACAACCTGTTGGTTAATAACAACTTTTAAAATAAACGTGTTTCAAGAAGATGCATAGGGTATTTCTTATAGGAGTTTCCAATATTGATCGTAATACAAATATTGATTTGTACAACTTTGGAATTAAAAGAACAACTTGCTCTTTTAATACAAAATTTTTCATAATAAATAAACCCAACCTCGTTTTCCTTTTGGAAAAATTTTTTATATTCCCATCACTCTTTTTTCGAAAAATAAAAAAAAAAAATTTAATTATAGAGATAAATATCCATTCATTACCTAATCTCAGTTTATTTCGCATCTCATTGTACACGAGCTTATGAATTAAAATTATTTTTTTTTTTATGACATTCATTAATTTAAAAAGATCCTAGAAAAATTCAAAAAAATTTGAACAGATAAAATGAAAAGATCCCATCGTGTTGATGCAAGAAATAAAAGAAATAAAGGAAATAAAAATTTTATAGAAGATCTCATAGAAAACAAGAGTAATCCCATCAATTCCATAATTCCTTCAAAGTCCTCTCTTCCAAAAAGTGCTTATCTTCAAGGTCAACTTTACGTACCGAATCACAACAATCCTTTTAGTTCAGATTCACCTTGGCAGATACTTGCAATATTGGTATTAGTTTGGACCATATTTTTATTATTGATAGTTTTCATATTTATAATTAAGAAAACGGTATTTGCAGATTTGAATTTACCGTTCGGAAGAAATAGACATCAACGCGTTCGTGGGACAGATGATGACAATGAGTGGATGTCTGCTTCATTCAGTGACGATAATCATGAAGCTGATGAAAATGAAGTTCCGCTATCGACGAATATGTCACGTGATGATAATGATCTTATTATCACCAACGTAATCGATTGATTACACGTTAATCATTTAAAAATAAGTTTGCTTTTTCAGCGATATTATGCATTTTTAAAGAAATAAGACATTTCCATTTTATCTTGATTATTTATTTTTTTTGTTTGTTAAGGATATAAGTGCCGCGTTTCTCACGCGTGTTTATTTTTTGTATGATGCTACTTTTTTAAGCAATTTTATTACAGATCAATAAAATATCATAAAGCGTAACCGTTTACCTAAAAAAAGAAAAGATGAGAAAGGTTGTCTTGTAGTAAATAAAATTTTGAAATTACATCCAAAGTCATTCGAAAAGATTTTTTCTTTGCAAAAGTCATGAAAAAGTGATTCGTCGTGCTAAATTATTGACACGATTTGTATGCGTGTTTACGATCTACATCACACAAAACCATGTGTATAAAGATCGTACGATATTTTTAGAACATATGGATACGAAAGACCAATGTGATTTAGTTAATTAATTAGTCCGTGCCCCGCGATGTTTGACGACATTTATTTAATTTGCTTACACAACAGGATGCTGTTAACTATGTTAAGTTAGCTCTTAAAGATCGGGTACTTGATTTTTTGAATTGTTGTTTCTCAAATTTAACGAAAAGGTTTCTCTGTATAATGTAACAAAATAAACTTTTTCAATTTCAAGACGAGAAAAAAAAAAAGTTTTTTTTATTATTTTTGAAGTAAATTAGTTGCAATTTATAAATAAATTTTTATTTATTTATTTTTTTTTTTTATTTATTTTTGAATTTTTGTTTTGTTAACGTTATTTTTATTTTTATTTTCGTACTAGATTTGGGAATATCATAATTTAGCGAAAACAAAAAAGATCATACGATGTTATTTATGAATTCCAACTTGCCAAAATGAGTCAAGTCAGAACTTTGAATTTCCTGATTTGATTACACCTTGCAACTTGTTGAAAGTACTTTCCTTAATTACATGTTGTAAGGTACTTTTGATGATGGATATGATTCGATGAAAAAGTGGGATGATGTACTTGATTCAAAAATTGTATTCACTTTAAAAAGATAATCAATGTCTTTGAAAAGAAAAAAAAAAGTTCAAATGCCTTTTGTGCACATGTGGGGCATGCAGAACTATTGAAAAAAGTGGCATGTTTCATCGGCATGAATCAATATTCCCTATGCTAAAATAATTAATTGTTTACTACTCTATTTTAAATTTTTTTTTTTTTTTTCCTTTAACTCACTTTAATGATTCTGAAGGTTGAGATTATAAAAAAAAATTTTTTTTTTAAAGAAAAAAAAAGTAAATTAACTTTGTTAATTAATTTGAGAGAAAACAAAAGCTTCGATTATTAAAATAAATGAAAAGAAAAAGAAGATAATGCCTCCTTCCGAAAGTTTGAATTCAGAATTGGAAATCTACGACTACCGACATCCCCTTTACATTGGCGATTGGAGAAAATCTATCGCTTACCTTGATGAAGATTTTGCCAGAGATGATTTGGATGAACCTCATATGAAGCGTAGGATAACCATCTTGAAGCAATACCCAGAAATCGAACAATTATACGGATACGATATTAAAACGGTACCCATCACCATTCTAGTCGCCCTGTTGCAAATTCTCTCCGCATATGTATTTGGGCGCATTGTATTGGATAGTAATTGGTTGATGACCATATATTCCTTCGTCGTTGGAGGATCGATGACTCAGCTTAGTTTTGTCATCATTCACGAAGCGGCCCATTGTCTCGCCGCTCCAACGCGATGTCAAAATCGAATTGTTGGACTCTTGGCGAATATAACGATTCCTTTACCCGTGGCAATGTCATTTCGTCGATATCATTTGGAGCATCATGTATTCCAAGGCGTAGATGGGCTTGATCCCGATTTACCTTTAGATTGGGAGAAGAGGTTCATTCGCGGTAACACCTTTTTGAAGCTATTGTGGCTTAACCTGTACCCAGTGATCTACCTCCTCCGTAACGTCTCAAACTTGAAAAGTCCCCAGTTCTGGGAATACATAAATTTTATCTTTACCGTCATCATAGACGTTCTCATATATTACCTTTGTGGGGTGAGGGGGTTACTCTATTTATTCCTATCAATTTGGTTTGGGTATAGCATTCATCCCGCGGCGGCTCACTTCATTCAAGAACATTATACGTTTGATGATGGGCAAGAGACATATTCTTATTATGGGACTTTAAATAGTATTTTCATGAATATAGGTTATCACAATGAACATCATGATTTCACGAGGGTGAGTAAATAAATCTGAGAACAAGTTTTGTGTTTCATTTTGATTACATGATGATGGTAACGACCTTTTTTGATATTAGATCCCGTGGTCCAAATTACCAGAAATACGTCGGATAGCGTCTGAATATTACGATGATTTATCTTATCACACATCCTGGTTTATGGTGCATTGGAATTTTGTCACCAAGAGACAATTTGGACCGCAAAGCCGCGTAAGAAGGAGCGTGCAAGATCACAAAAAAGGTCGCAAGATGTTAGGTGTATTGAAAAAAGCTTTATCAGAAGAATGAAAGGTTGAAAAAAAAAATCATGATTATCACACAAAAAAGGTTACCTGATGATTCAATTTGAAAGATAAAGTGAAAATAATGACCGGCAGTTTGCTACAAAACAATAATTGCATGACGCGAGTGCAACAAAAATATGAGGCGCTGTCCGCCGTTACCGTTGCTTTGTCGATGGGAATATCGCAATGATCAAATCATGTTTTTTTTAGGAGATTTAATTTTTTGAACAATCACATTCCTAACACATAAAAAATTTTTTAAAGTACTTTTTCAAACACTTTTATTTGTCATTTTAAACATTTAAGTTGGTTTAATCTTTTTAAATGTAAAAAAAAATTAAAGGATTAGGAAAGTTGTTATCTTAATCATTATCATAATCAAATAAATTCAATTCAAACTGTTTTTGGACACCTATTTCATCATTCCATTAAGAATATTTTAATACAGTTCTACAAACAACAGGTTTCAAGTCTTAATGGACATATGTGGTGCGACCATATGGTGTGAATATATGGAACATATATTTTAGGGTTAGGTTGGTGTTATTGTTGGGTTATCTCTATTGTAGTATGAGATATTATATTTTTAAATTCAAAAAAAATTTTTTTTTTGATAATAGCGATTAGCGTATTATGTAATCATATTTACTCTTTTTTTTTTTTTTTTTTTTTCTCATGTATTATTTGCATTTTTTTTTTTAGCCGATGCGAAAATTTTTTTCGTTAACAGTAAATCAACACATATTTATACGTGATTAGCGAAGATGTCAAATCCCAAAGATTCGGTAACCAAAAATAATTCACATGATTATTCACTTATTATGTACGTCAATGTGATGTACAAAAAAATTGAAACGTTGGGTTGGTTAGGAAGAAAAAAAAAAAATAATAATAAATTTCTACTAAATATGCAACACGTACGTAAAAAAAAAAAAAATGTGACACATGGTTTAAATGTGTATTCAATTCAAATTGACGTTACAAAGTTGAAGGTTACGGCCATTACAATAAAGGTATAACCTGTTTTTCTACGAATTGGAATATTTGTTCATTGAATATCATTGTGATGATATCATAAAATTTCAAACATCTAATCTTTCAAAAATATGATAATGCATTTATCTTCAGAAAAGGACAAAATCATGTGAAAACGTAAACTTTTTTTCTTCAAACATTATTTCGAATGAATGATGCCAAATTTGACAGATTCTAAACTATGAAGATTTTTGCTCATTTACGGATGCACGCGATGGCAAATTTTTGCAGTTGACGAATTGAGAGGTTCTTTCACAAGGCACACACATTAATGACATGCCAGCAATTACCTTGATTTTTTTTTTTTTGCGCGTGGATGACGGCGGGAAACTTCTAATTATCATGTCACCTTTAAAATGTTATTTTTGGCTTGATGTTATCTCTACTAAAATTTTTACATGATTGATGTTGAGAGATACATATTTATAAATGCATATCGAAATAATCATCGACACCTTGCATATTATGGACAATGAAAGAGGATCTAGTGTTAATGAGGGAAAGGTGGGATCTAGATCCTTGCTTTACACAAAAAAAAAAATTCGACCGTTTAATTTTTTTTTTTTTTTTTTTTTAAAAAAAATTCTACAATACAATCAATACTTTAAAGACTGCCATGTGTAGTTGTCAAAAAAAACAAAAAAACAAAATAAATTAACGAGAAAAAACAAACACAAATAAATAAAATTCACAAATAATTATGTAAAACAATGATAACGCGTTTTGAGATGTCTCCGTTTTTTTTTTTTCCTTTTACCTTTTTTTTTTTTTTTTTTTTTTTTTTTACAAAAAAAAAAAATCAAGAGTGATTGTTGCTAAAGAATTAACTGTAAAATTTTTTTTTTTGGTACCTACGGGATTGATTCCGAGTGGCCTGATTGAAAATAAAACTCAAACAGGATTAAGTTTTTGAGATGCCGAAATTCCTTGTGATTCATGCTTTAACAAATACTGTCAAATAAAACTTTATTTCAAATACCAATCAGGATCAATGAGTCAATTTGAAATACGGAATGCGATAAATTCAAAAGGTATTAATTTACATATTCGGATAAATCCAATTGTTCATATTGGAAACAAGTGACCTACAATCCCTTCATACAAATTATGTTACAATTTGTGATTAAATTAGGAGAAAAAAATTACAATAAGTTGATAAACAAAACTGCACAAATTCTTCGTACATTATGATTACCTACATTCTTTACATAATCCTCAAATGTTACACTATTCATGAACGACTTGTGAAGATTCTTAATATGATTTAGATCTTTTTTACTTTGTAAAGAATGAATATGTTATGTCGCACAGTCCTGTAATGTGATGTTTGGGAATAAGTCATTTTGATACAAATTGTGAGCTTGTTCCGATTGAAAACCTCTTTTTTCTCTGAGAATTCAAGCTTATCCACACGTTTGTGGAAATGTTTTCTCGATTCGAATCTGACCGATGTGGGTTTCTTCGCAAAACGGTTTTCCTTCGTTTCGTTTAGGCAACCGATTATGCGAGAGCTCGGCATTATTTGATTCCTATCGCCTAGCTTCTTGTAAGATGAAACCTTTATCGCTCTCTTTTTTTTTGGGAAATTTTTTTTTTTTTTTTTTTTTGGAGAAACTTTTTTAATTTTATTCTTATTATTATTATTTATTTGCTCAAAACATTTCATTTGCTTTTTCTGTGATTTTGCAAAATTCTAGTTCGCTTTCCCCCACCTTGATGTCCATTGAAGATTTTGCAGGTCAAAATCTCCTAATCGATCTGATTTTCTGTTTATGTTTCTCAATTGTAGGTTTGTAAACTGTTTTATTCCCTCGCGAATTTCATGATAAAAAAAAAAAAAGAGTCTCACCTGTCAAGGAAAGAAATCGCTGATTTTTCTTTCCCTTCAATAGGATGTCATTTCAAGTTCTCGGAAGCCCACATCCAACCACGCTCTTTAAAACTTACTCTTACTTTTCGTCATCAAACTTTGTTTTTTTCTTATCTTATCTATTTCGTTTGTCTATTCGCGATATTCGATAGGGGTAAAATAAAAAAAAGAATTTTTTTGATTCAAAAAAAAAAAAAAATTATGACTTTCTAAGCTGAAAAAAAAAACGCGGGATAATCTTTCTAAAATTAGAAATGGTTTCGATTTTCGCAAAAACCATTTTAATTACATTTCTCTCGATTTCTCGTCTCTATTCGTACCTGGCCTTTTTTTTTTTAACCTATTTTTTTTTTATCTTTTTCTTTTTTATTAAAATTAACGTAAATTAAAAAAAATATTTTCTCGTTAAAAAAATCTGTTTCTTTTAAAATTTGTTGAAAAAAAGATTTTATTTCTTTCTCGATTCGTTTATTCTCTCCCCGTAAATATTATTCTTTTGCTTTTGTACTTATTTTTATACCTTTTTTTTTTTTTCATATATAATCATTATTATTTTATTATTATTTTTTTTTATTTCGGTAACAGTATTTACTATGAATTTTTTTTTCGTTAATTCGTTCCGTTCATACCGTTTCCAAAAAAAAAAAAAAAAAATTATGCTCTTTTAAGAATATAATCCTTAATGAATTTGTCAAAAATTCTCTTACCCCCTTTTTTTTAGTAAACCGAAAAATCCAAAAATCCATTATATTTTCGCGTTTTCAAAAAAAACAAGATTTTCAAAATAAATATTAAATTCAAATTTTCCTTATCTTGCCGCAGCAACGATATCTCTTTTTAACATGAGATCGAACCTCAATTGTTATTAGTTGAATTGCCAGATTTGGTTTAAAAACATTGCCTAGACTTTCAGGAATTTCATAAGCCCATTTATCATTCTAGCTCGGTTTAGGGTAATTGAATCAACTTGTAAATTAAAAAAGAAAAGGGCGTTTGTTTTAACGAGAAAAAAAAAACAAAAATTTGACAATTGGGCATTGTGATAATTTTTTTATACTAATAAAGTTGTTATAGATACGCGAATTTAGACTAGGGATTGACCTTTTTTTTTTTTCTTTCCCTTAAAAACAAAAAATTGGTTTGATTGGTTACCGTCATGGTGAGGATGAGGTGATTAGGTCTTTATCGATCAAATGAATAAGATTTGATCGAGAATCACGCCATGTTGAAGAGAGCTTCTTTCAACATGAGAGATAACAATAAATTTTGACGTAGATAAACACAGTTTTTTTAAAAAAGGAAAAGAAATAAAGAACTGAAATCGGTCGTGCATCTTTTAGCATCGGTTTGTCGGAACCAATAATAATGACAATGCCAATTTTTTTTTTTTTAAAAAAAAAAAAATTTACCAAGCTTTTGATGATCATTTATGGGAAAATTTGTACCGATTTTAGATTAATTGAAGATTTTATCAAGTTATTTTATCCAAAATAAGTATTTCGGAGGTTGGCAACGACGCAGATGACGCAAATTATGTGGATGTCCAAGGGAATAACCAAAGATGCAAGTTCGTAAAAAGACTAACACTAAAATTGACAACAAACAATCTTTTCGCCCCCATTTTTCAAAAACGGACAAGATTTCTATATACAACAAAACCCAAAAATGACACTAAAGTTATTTGTTGTATAAAATTGCACACCACGTTTTTTTTTATATATACCGGTTATGTGATTGTCATTTTTTTTACCACACGTTTTCATTTCTTTCCAATTTTTTTTTTCCTTTTTGAAAAAAATAAAATTAAAAAATCAAAACAAATCAAAAATGATTAACTCCTACCTTTACCAGGATAAGGTCAAGTAAACAACAATCATACAAAAAAATTAAATGATAATATTATTTAATATAATATGCATATGTAAAGTAAAAGACAAAGGTGAAAAAAAGAATTTCTTGTTTATCTTTGCATTACCAATCATACGTTTGAAAAATGAATGGATTTTAGCCTAACGGGACGTTACGAATAATTATTTGTGCCTTTACCCCTGCATGAAAAGGTTTCAATCTTGTTTACCAATTTTATTTCGAGAATTATTTTTAGGTTCAAACTATCCCTTATTGGTCATTATCGTTAAAGTGCGTGCAATATGTGTACCAAACATTGATCAAAAATATTAATTAAATAGTTTCCATACCGTTTATGGTCATGTATTAAATAATAAATATGTTCCATCTAAAAAAATTATAAATATTTGAGAATGCCTTCCAAATTCCTCTGTTTTTTTTCGTTTTTTTTTTTGAAAGTCCGTTAATCGTCGTCTGGCACGTCTAACCTTTGTTTCTTTTCTCACATTCCTTTTTCATTTCATAATATCATCATCAATACCAAATATCTTCATCCCACCTTCATCCATTCAATTTACCTAGAAGATTTTTTTTTCTTTTTTTTTCTTGAAAAAAAAAAAAAAGGAAGAATTTTTAAAAGCATATCTCCTCACTCTCACTTTCCCGTAAACAATCAAGAAAAATGACTCAATCTAAAATTGCTCGAAAGAGCATATTAGTTTTGGTCGTTCTCTTCATTGTTATATTGGTGGCTTCCTCAAATACCGCATCACCCGTTGAAAATCAATTTGAAAGTAGTCTCATTTACAAACGTCAAAATAATGGTGAACAGAAACCCCCTGAACCAAAGCTACCGTTAAAAGTGCCGGAAACAAAGGAACCTGCCAAAGTCAATGAAGATGCAAAAGATCCGAAACAACCATCAGGTAATCCAAAAATCCCAAATGATTCTACTAAAACCCCACTAAAAGACATTGATGTCAAAATTCCAAAAGAACAAACTGAAAATGATCCTATTCCTAAAGGGCCCGAAAATGTTGATAATCCAAAAAATGATAATAAAAAACCCGAAAATGATAATAAAAAACCAGAAAACGATGATAATAAGAAACCCGAAAATCCAAAAAATGTTAAAACTCCTAAAAATCCAAAGAATGTTGATAACCCTCCTAAAAATCCTAAAGATCCTAAAAATCCTGAAAATCCTAAAAATGTTGACACTAAAATTCCACCTTCTCCTACTGAAAATGAACTTCCAAAACTTCCAGAAAATGATCCTAAAACACCAAAAGGTCCCAAAACCAAAAATCCATTAGATCCCGAAATTCCTAACGATCAAAATCCAAAGGAAAATCCAAAGTCAAATAACCCAATCGATTCTAATCCTATTACAGAAAATCCTCCTAATGAGAACCCTGCTAAGGATCCTAAAGAACCTGCCAAGGATCCACTTAAGGAACCCGTCAATGATCCCGCCAAGGATCCCGCCGAAGTCAAAGAACCTGCCAAGGATCCTGCTAAAGAACCCGTTAAGGAACCTGCCAAGGAACCGCTTAAGGAACCTGTCACGGATCCCGCCAAGAACCCTGTTAAAGAGCCCGCTAAGGTTCCTGCCAAGAATCCTACCATCGATCCAAAAGCTCCCAAAGATCCTATCACAAAAAACCCAATTCAAGAACCTGCAAAAGAACCTGCAAAAGCACCTACCAAACCTGTAGAAGAACCACCAAAGGACAAAGAGTAGGTTGAACATTCCGTGATAATTTTTTTTTTTTTAAAAATAAAATTTTAAAAATATTAAATTTGATTATCTTCAAATTCTTTAAAGTACACCCGAAGTTTTTACTACAATTACTGAGATGCCAGCTGCTACTCCTCCACCAAATTCACCAAAAAATCCACAATTAAACAAAGAAAAACCAAAACAAATGAAAACTTTTACAACTTTTGTCTCTTCCACTTCGGTCATACCAGCTACTAAGACTAGAATAACCACTACAAATGCTGCTGGCGAAGAAACTGTCATGGAATCTACCATTCCTCCAAGAACCGTGGTTGTAGTGAAAGCTATTGTCACAGCTACGCCTGTCTCAGCTGAACTTATGGAGGAGTCTAGCGGAACGATTTTGGATATTAATAAAGGATTAAGTTTTATTTTTGGTAGTATTAGTTCATTATTCATGTTAATAGCATAGAATGTACAGTTCATTAATAAAGCTTGTACATCTTGATATGAAATTTGATTTTAATAATAAATTCCATTTGAACAAGCTGAATTTCATGGGATATTTCGTTAATTGCAAAGAATAAAAAAAAAAAAAAAAATTATATATATATATAAATATCAAATTCTTCATTGTAAATAATTTAATTGATTTATTCTGAAATCGGACTAATATAGAATGATTTATTCCGTTAGGACAAATTATTATTATTCTAAAAAAGTAAAATATTTGTACCGGATGTCTCTAATTTCATAATACAAATTTTAAACTAAAATGTTTGCAATCAATATAAAGATTTATCTAAAATATTCGGAAAACTACGTTCAAACATCTCTCACTAACGGGATCCTCGTTCTCAAACCTTTAGAACATTCAATTAAATTGTGATCAGTCCAAGCAATTCTATTAGGTTAATCATCCACCAGGCAACACCTGTGCGTATAGTATGCGTTTAGTTCACCAATTGATTTCATCTAGCATATATCTTTTACAACCCACATGGTAACTTAATGTTATTAAAATTAATTGTCATTTCAATATATATGAAAACCGGACATTCTTATTCATTAATAAATGAACCCGCAGGTTGGGTCCTCTTTGCCGAGGCCAATGAAGTTAGCTTTGCTAAAACTTAGCTAATTTGACTTGTTCTCGATAACTAGCATTTTTACCTTTTAAAAAAGAAAACTATATACTGTTGTCACAGATCACGCAATAAATCATTTAATTGTATTCTTTCTCAAAACGGAATGGATCTTTAATAAATGCGTGGGGCCATAGATAAAATTTTAAAATTATGTGTGCGCATTTATAAAGTATAGATTGTATAGTGTGTATGTATTTATAGAGAGTGAATTATAGAGAATTGACTGTATATAACTAAGGCCGGGCAAAGTAAACTTTTAGAATCTCGTGATCCGGCCGTGTCAGTTTTACGAAAATTCAGGATTTTTTTTATAGTAAAATTTTTTATCACGAGACCTTACATAATAAACTTTATTATAGTAAATTCGAAAAATGTGAATTTGTTACATATTATTATCGTGACATTTTGTTACTTGAAATTTAACATCCTTACCACGCTTCTTCTTATTTAAAACTGTTGTATGACATTCATTGCAATAATAGTAATATACTTCATTCACACTATCTTTAGTAGATTCATCACATTCATCTTCCGGTACTTTTCACATTGAAAGCAAATATCTTCGATTAAACCGCTTGAATAATAAGAAACTTCTATCCCTTAAACTGTAGAGCAGGCAAATTTGCTAAAAAAAAGTATTAATTTTTTAATAAAAAATAAAATATTAATGTTAATAATATAATTATTATATAAAAAATATAGT